ATTCGAGGAAAATGAGCAAAGAGATTTGAATTTTATAATCATGGCTGGTTATATCTTATAAACTTTTTTCGTTGTTGTTACTTATATCTTTTAAATTTGTTTGGGTTTTTATTGGTGATAGTAATTTAGTGTACATATTTGTTTTTCCATGTCAGAATCCACCGTGATTTCAAAGAATTGCTCGAAGAGTACCTAGAAGTGGAGTAAATGTTTGAAGATGAAACCATTTTATGTTCCGTCGAGCCAGGGCAAGCGTTGTCAAAAGTCAAAAATATAAAAGTTTGATATGACCAGTTGGTTTAATTAAATATGTAATGTCGATTAAATTACTTTGCTAGATTGGTTTTGGTTTATTCTNGGTTTATTATCTTTTTGTTTTGAGACANATTTTTGGTTTATTATCACTATTTTTAATCATTCTCTTCAAAACATCATATGTTTTTTTTTCTAGAATTTTAATTTTACCTAAATATTGTTTGAGAACATTATATTATAACAATCTTTGTAATACCTAAATATTGTTTGAGAGTAAAGTATTAAAATTATTTTGAATTTGAATAAGTTAGGATGATTTAAAATTTTAGTTTAGTTAAGAGATATGATTTAAGAATACTTTATAATATTGTTTGAAATTTGTAGGCTAATTCTTTTTCAAATATGTGCTAATCCTTTAAATGTAAATTAAATACTTTTATAAATCACGTGAACTCTATATTATTTTGAGTATAACAAATTACGATTGGTCTTAAAATGGTTATGATAACTTTTTACTAACTAAAAATTCAAAGAACTATTGTTTTGAATTATTTCTAAAATGAAACATATTTCTATTCAAAACAATCGCAAATTGGCATATTTTAAGCAAATCTGAGATTCCTTACAACTACAAATGCTTGCTATATAAATTGTATTCGATAATTTTTAACTATATGGACTACCTAGAAATATGTTCTGTTTATGTATACACATTTTTTACCCTCCACAAATTCGAATATACACAAATATATTAATTTTAACCCACACACAGCGTGGATATTATTCTAGTCTATAATGATATTTAACCTTTTTTCTTAAACACCATAAATTTATGTCATTCATTGCCACTTCATAGGCTCATACGTTTTACATTTGTCATATTTGATATTGTTTTTTCGCAATTAATTTCTTTTACTTTGAAATTTGTCTTGGATTAATAAAAAACTTTTAATATGAGCTAGAATATACCATGATGATAGAAGACAATGTGTAAGGAATTATGGAATACCACAACTCAGTCAGCCACATCCCGCATTTATAGACATGTTCTAAACCCCTAATACTAAACTAATCTTTAACCATTAATTAAGCTTAAATAAGAAGGCAAATACCAAAGATTCTGTATAACCTGGTTTTCCAAGGGTCATCTTTGTGAGTATAGTAGGAGAGGATACAACACTCTATCCATTGTGGTTCCCTTGTAGCCGCCTGCTTGGAGCTTTCCCTTATTCCTTGCAACCGATTCCACTTCTTCCTCAACATCTCTTTGTCCTCAAATTCTAAACTCCAAAAGTACTCCTGTCAATATGATGAACTCTAGTTTAGGGATTATAATAGAATCTATGTTTCAGGTTTAGATGCATAAACCAAATGGGGGCATTTACTGCGTCTTTATCGCATAAGAAAGCCTCTAAAGTTGTTGTTGGATCGTCATGTGTCAATAGAAATTGGTAACTGCGATTCTCGTCTGAATAAATATCCTCCACTTGCCAAGGGTATGCAGCTACAACTCGAACAATGCATCTGTACTTGTATGTAACCTGTAATAAAAACAAACGCAAGCACATAAATTATTCTTTATGGTTACAAGGAATACACAAAACAGATTCTTGTTTGGCACCTTGGGGAATGTTATGATGTCCATCAGTGTAACAAATGGGGCTCGATCGACATCTGTCTCTACAAGACACCGAGAATGTCGATGAAGTCAGTCTAACGATCAATATGGAGAAATTTTCAATGAAAAAATGAAAAGAGGATTGCAACCTGTTAATGGAATGTGTCCCATCTTTGATGACATTCTCTTATCATAAATCCTAATTTTGGGAGCATAAGATCAGAATTAATATCAAGTGAACAAATTACTCCAAAAAAAAAACCCTCAAGAATTACCAACCTCTTGATTTTTTCTACTAAACAACCATCTTGAGCGAGATTGACCATTGTAAATCTACAAAAACAAAAAATTGTAGTTAAATGTTACCTTTTAAAAGTTTAGGATAATTTAACAATTTATTAGGGTCTTTTAACAAAAAAGAAAAAACATTTTCACTAAAATGGTGGAAACCCACTGCAAAAACACACCTTGCATTCCTTAAAAACCGGACCTGATAAGTGGTAACACTACACTCTTTACATAATTAGATGGGTAGACAGAAAGAGAGAGAACGTAAAGAGAAAATAGCATATTTATTAGACAAATCAAGGTGATGATTGGTGAGGATTTTAAGAACTTTTGGCTGTATACTTTAAAAAATAAAAAAATGACTGTAAAAACTTTTGCTTTAAAATAGTTTGATTGTGACCTTAAAAAAATAAACGTCAGATTTATAGGCTTTAAAAAAAATTAACGAAATAAGAGTAAAATTTAGAAAAAAATGGCTGTNAGAATTTATAGGAGATTTTTTAGGATTTTAGAAGTTTTTAAATCAAAGAAGCCTGATTGGATAATTTGTGACTTTAAAAACTTTAATTTTTTTTTAAAAGTCTATACAGCAAAATTTGGACAATGTAGCAGAATTTGGTTCATGGACTTATGTCTTAAACCTAGGTGGATGAAAGCTC